CGGACGGCAACTTGACCACATCAAGGACCTCTTGGGTGATCCAGAGTGTGGCCCCAAGGCTTGGAGGAAGCTTCTGGATGTGCACTCACCGACACATGCTACCGGCATCGTGCTACTCGCGCGGCGGCTGCGCGACATCAAGTTCGTTGATGGAGAGCCGATGCAACCGGTGTTGGATGAGATGCGGGACATCTTCACGAAGCTCCAAGGAGGCGGTGTGGTGTACCCGGAGCTCGTGCAATGCGTGGAGATCGTGATACGGCTGCCGGAGTCATGGTCTGCCCTAGCGATCAACCTCAACTCCCAACAACCCCAATGGAGCGTGGATTACATTCGCGCGCGCATCCTAGAGGAGGACCTGCGGAGGCGGAGTGTGGAGCGCTCGGAGGAGGGGGCTGGCTATGGAGTTGGAGGTGGAAAGAGTGGCTTCAAGAAGAAGTGGAAGGGCAAGAACAAGGATAACCCTAAGGAGGATGGCGGCGGGGGTCAAGGGGAGGTGTGCTTCTATTGCAAGAAGCGCGGACATCGTTGGCGGCAGTGCTACCAACGACCCAAGGATTGGACCCCGCCTTCATCAAGCAACCAGCGTGGTGGCACAAGGAGTGGGGGAGTCATGGGAGCTAGTGGAGAGGAGAAGGATGAGGAGAAAGGCGGCAAATCTGAGGAGCGGAAGGCCGGGTTCTTCTTCTTTGTGAACGAAGGCGCAACCGACCACGCTATGGCTGCCAAGGTTCTCCTACACCCCCTCACCCATTGGGTGATTGACTCCGGGAGCTCTTGGCACATGACTCCCCGTGCGGACCTACTTGATGAGATTCAGCCCGCACCCATCTCTACAGTCACATCCGCGACGGGCGCCAAGGCCAAGGTCATGGGCATGGGATGCGCCAAGTTCATGGGAGCGGATGGAGAGCTCGTGGGGCTGAAGAACGTGCTGTGGGTGCCGGACTTGTGCGCGAACCTGATATCTACCGGCCGGTTGGGAGATGCGGGTGTGAACACCGAGACGATTGGCTCGGAGCGCTATCGTGCCTACAACGATGAGCGGCTGATTTGGGACCTGCAGTGGAAAGGGGATATCCACAAGCGGATGTGGCAGATCCCGGTCCTCCCTTGGCGGAAATCGGGCAAGGCGGCAATGGCGGCATCTATGGAGGAGAGCGTTACCGAGGAGGAGCAGCAAGGTGTGCAAGGAGAGGAGCTGATTGGAGGAAGCGCGGCGGTGAAGGCGTCGGCTACCTCGGGCCAAGCGGATTGGGAGACTTGGCATCGGCGGCTCGCACACGTGGCTGTTTCTACACTAGAGGTGATGCACAAGGAGAAGTGCGTGCATGGGCTGCAACTGCAAGGAGATGGCATTCACTATGGCAGCTGCGAGGCGTGCATGCAAAACAAGTTTGCGCGGTTCCCGTTTCCACGAGCGGAGGGATCAGCGAAGGCACCATTGGAGGTGGTGCACATGGACCTGGTGGGTCCTATGAGGACTGAGGGGACTGGGGGAGTGCTCTACTTCCTCACCATGGTGGACGAATGGAGCCGTTTCACGTGGGCGCGTCCCTTGTCCAAGAAGAGCGATGCTGCAGCGGCAATCAAGGAGGATTGGTTGCCGATGGTGGAGCGGCAAGCGATGCGGCTGGTGAAGGTGCTGAGGAGCGACCGAGGTGGAGAGTTCCTTGGAGCGGAATTCACCAAGTTCCTCAAGAGAAATGGCATCCGACATCAGCTGACCTGCCCTGGAACACCGCAGCAGAACGGCATTGCTGAGCGTGCCAACCGGACCATTGGGGAGGCGGCTAAGACCTTGTTGGGGGCTGCTGGGATGCCGTACAAGTTCTGGCCTGATGCTGTTCGCCATGTCATCACGGTCAAGAACAGGGTCTTGACGCATGTTGGTGACAAGCATTGGGTGCCGTACGAGCGTTGGCTTGGGAAGAAGCCATCTATTGACATGCTGCGTGTGTGGGGCTGCATGGGGCTTGTGATGGTGCCTAAGGAGCAGAGGCACAAGCTGGAAGTTGCTGCTGTGTGGGCTGTCCATCTTGGGATGGCTCCTGACTCGAAGGGGTGGCTAATGTGGGACCCCAAGAGCAAGAAGTCGCTGGTCAGCCGTGATGTCAAGTTTGTGGAGGACGTCATGTACAAGGACTGGCAGCAGCAGCAGCAGGTGCATATTGGCTTGCGCCTGCAGGAGATTGAGCGGTCTGCAGTGGAGGAGGTTCAGCTGCACCTTGAGGATCTCCCTGGGTCAGAGCTGACCAGTGATCACAGTGGCGGTGGTGAGCAGCAAGGCGCTGGTCCTACTGCGGAGGAGGGGTTGGAGGATGAGTCGGCACGTGTGGACTCACCATCTCAGCCCGAGCCTGCTGCAAACACCAAGGTCACCAAGAGGAGTGTGCAGAGAGGAGCTTCACCACATGGGCAGCAGACTGTAACCCGTGAGAAGAGAGTGGCAGCAGCACCCTCAAGGCTGAAGTATAGCCGTTTGGGAGGACCCAAGCAAGGTGCCATGGCGGTTCAGGCGGATGAGGGAGAGGATGAGGAGATGGCGTTCTGTTTCTTCACACCCTTGCCTGGAGAACCAGCCACAGTGGAGGAGGCACTTAGTGGACCCCAGAAGGAGGAGTGGAAGGCTGCCATGGATGCAGAGTTCAACAGTCTCATTGAGAATGGGACTTGGGAGCTTGTTGAGTTACCCGAGGGGCGACGGCCGATCAGCAGCAAGTGGGTCTTCAAAGTGAAGAGTGGTGCTGATGGTGCGCTGGAGTGGTTCAAGAGCCGTTTGGTCGCCAAGGGGTTTCAGCAGAAGGAGAAGGTCGACTTTGGGGAGATCTTCGCTCCCGTTGCTAAGCCATTGACACCGAGGACTTTGATGGCTGGCGCAGCTGTGAAGGGATGGCACGTGAAGCAGATGGATATCACCACTGCATTCCTCAATGGAATACTGCTGGAGGATATCTACATGGCGCAGCCCGACGGCTATGAGGATGGGACCAGCCGGGTGTGCAAGCTTAAGAAGGCCATCTATGGCCTTAAGCAAGCACCCAGGTGTTGGTACGAGAAGCTGGAGGAGGTGCTGCTGGGTGGAGGCTTTAAGACGTCCCAGGCGGATCACAGCTTGTTTCTGCTTGGAGAGGGGGAGCAACTGCTTTTGCTGCTGGTGTATGTCGACGACATACTGCTGTTCTCACCTTCCATGGAGCAGATTGAGAGGACACAGAAGCTGCTGATGGACAACTTCAAGTGCAAGATGCTGGGGGATGTCCACTACTACTTGGGGCTGCAGATTGAGAGGGATGTTGAGAGGAGGTGGCTGAAGGTGCATCAGTCACACTACATCTCTGGTGTCATGGAGCGGTATGGTGTGACTGGGGGTCGCACTGTGATGACACCGTTCCCTGCAGGCTTCAAATTGAAGAAGGCAGCAGAGGAGGATGATGTGCTTGAGGATGAGCAGCAGAATGAGTACCAGTCACTCATTGGGAGTGTGATGTATGCAGCTGTGCATACGCGACCTGATGCTTCATTCGGAGTGGGGCAGCTGGCCAGAGTTGTGCAACGGCCCACTGTGGAGCAGTTGGAGGTGGCAAAGCGCTTGGTGCGCTACCTTGGATCAACGGCATCTGCTGGTGTTCAGTTTTCAGCTGGCGGCCAGCTGAAACAGATTGGAGCAGATGGGGTCACGCCTGGTACCTTGAAGCTGTCGTGCTTCACCGACGCCACATGGGCCTCAGAGGATGAGGATCAGTCATCGGTTGGCGGCTTTGTATGCATGGTCGGAGGTGGACCAGTGAGCTGGAGGTCCAAGAAGCAGAGTGAGATTGCTCAGTCTTCCGGAGAGGCAGAGTACATGGCGATGTACCATGCCATCAAGGAGATCGTGCTCCTGAGGAAGCTGCTGCAGGACATGGGAGCTGAACAGGAGGGACCTACACCACTTTTCTCCGACAGCGAGGCTGCTATTGGCATGGCCAATAATCCTATCCTGAATGGGCTGAACAAGCACATGAAGATTAAGTGGCACTGGGTGAGGCAGATGGTGAAGGAGGGAGCTGTTGAGCTTCACCATGTGAAGGCTAGCAAGCAAGCGGCAGATTTTCTTACAAAGAGACTTCCCGAGAGCGCACATTGGAAGTGTGCTAAGATGTGCGGCATGGCATTGCACTAGTGTGGGCAGCAATGTCATGAATGCATGTGTGATTGTGTGCATGAGACTATGCATGTGTGTGGGTGTGTGTGCATGCAGTCCGTTAGTCTGAGGGGGAGTTTGTTGGATGCACGTCATACTGAGTGCATGTCATCCTAACGTCCTGCTGAGTGCTCGTGCTATTTGTGCTTGCATGATTTGCATGAGCGTATGTCATTGTGCATGGCTGTTGGATATTATCATCTCTGTGTTTTTCTCCAAGTCTAACTGCTTGATCATGCAGGAGAAATCCAGAGCTTTCCAACGATACCAAGATCGCCTTATTCCGACCAAGATCGCCCAAGTTACAAGATTTCCAAGATTTGGATTTCTTATTACCTTTTTGGGGTTATATCTAATTTGGGTGATTACTTGGGACATGACTATAAAGGGATCTTTGGTTGGGTGGTTAGGAAGCCAACTTTGACTTTTGGATTGGGGTGGCTAGAAGTTTCTAGCATGGGTTGCAAATGTTGTAACACCTAGGCAAAATCCAACTAGATTGGATTTTGCATGTGACACCTCAAGGACCTCATGATGAGGGTTGCATCCTTGCTGCTAGGAAGGTTCTTACTATCCTTCCCTAGCTCTTGGAGAACCCCTTCCCTCTCATGGTTCTCTTGGAGGTCCCCAACTCCAACTTTCTATGCCCTAATGTTTGTACTTCCTCCACCATTCTAGTTATGCGGCTGCTGGACGTTTTCACTTTGTTCTCACTCTATAGACCATCTTAACGACTGATTCAACTTGGAAATGGTAGCTAAGCCTAAGACGCACCTTCCTACCGAGCGGATTTGCGTTTAGTTGAGTAATGAGTTCATCGTAAGCTCTCAAAGTGACGGATCCTGAACAACACAAACATGGCGTACATCTCAGACCGTAGCTGCTGGAACTCGTCTCGTGTAACAAACTGCCCGTGCTCTGCACCTTCAGCCAGCGCATCCATGACATCCGGAAAAGGGTGTGTAGAAACCCCTCTCTGGCCAAGGGGATCAACGTCTTCTGCAGCAGCACCGTGTGCCCTCACACTATCACGCTGGCGGGAAAAGGGAAGCTCAGGGAAGGGATTGGCAATGGTGCTTGGTTGATGCACACGCGATGGACCGGCGAGGGGGGAGACCGCCCTGCCCCGGGTTGGAGAAGCGTGTAGTGGCCGAAATAGGTATGAGGGAGAGGCGAGTGGGGAGTGCGTGACGGGGGCTGGTGGAGGGGATTCGGATTCCTCGCCTGTTGCCGCGCCGGGTGCAGTCACAGCGACTTTGCTCGGGCCGGAGTATGGCGTGAAGAACCTTGGTCCTCCTGTGGATAGCGGTGCCACACTCGCTCTTCCGGCCCCTTTCACTAGCTGCATCCGTTGCACGGTTACCGGTGGCCCAATGCCTGTAACACGGGGGGCTGAGAGTCACACGGAGGATGAGCACGGAGCTGGTGTCTGTAAGGTGCACTAGGACACGTGCAAACATGACGAGCAACCGCATGATTCTAACATGGGTGTAGCACGCAACTGTAGTGTATAGTCACGCCTTACCCGGTTTAGCCGATTCGTCAACCTTCTCCTTCCCTGCGGTGGGAAAAGACGGGTGGAACACGGTGTTGTTAGGGTCTGTTCAGCACTAACCGCGGCAGCTATGCCAGTCGTTTGTGACACGTTGCTTACAACGTTGCGGTCCCTTCGGTTTTGCTGCCTGCTCCTTATCATTGCCCCATTTCCGTGGTGTGCTTTGGCGGGTGCTGCCTCGTTTACGGGCAGGTTCTTTCTTTGCCGAACCCACAGGTACCCCTTTCGCGCGCGGTCCCTTTCCGTCTCCATCGCCTTTAGCTCCCTGTCTCACTTGCTTCCTTCCACCCCGGTCAAGTTCAACCTTCACCTTACGCGCCTTCGATTTGCCCGCTGGTCCGCCACGCATTGCGTCACCCGCCCCGCGTTTCCGGGATTGTCCAGACCGGCCCCCCACCTTCCCTGTGCCACTCCCCCGCCCGCCTCGCGCGCCCCGTCCTTTCCCTGCCGGCTCCTCCTCCTCCTCCTCCTCATCCGCCCCTTCCTCCACCTCCTCTTTCTCCTCGTCGTCCTCCTCCTCCTCATCCTCCTCCTCATCATCCTCCTCCTCCTCTTCCTCCTCCTCCTCCTCCTCCTGCTCCTCCTCCTCCTCCTCCTCCTCCTCCTCCTCCTCCTCATCCTCCTCCTCCTCCTCCTGCTCCTCATCCTCGTCGTTCCCCTCATCGTCCTCCTCATCGTCCTCATCCTCATCCTCCTCCTCCTCCTCCTCCTCCTCATCATCGTCGCCCTCCTGCTCATCCTCGTCCTTTTCTCCCTCCCCTGCATCCTCGTCCTCCTCCTCCGCATCCTCCTCGGCCTCCTCCTCCCCATCCCCCTCGTCCTCAACATCCGCTTCACCAGGGCCTTCTTTGCCGCGCTTCGGCCTATTCCCCCCCGAAGATTGCTTCCCCCTCCGTCCGCTAGATGGTTTCCTCGGACCGGATCCCACCTTATGCCGCATTGCATGATCTGTCGCCAAGCCACTTGGCGCCGTGGTGCCTCGCATTGTCCCAACTTCAGCACCACCGGCGTCGTCACTGCTGGCTGTCGTCTGCCTCCTCTTCGCGCGTATGGGCATGTCCTCAGCCATGGGGGTGTCATTCTCCTCCTCACCATCGCTCTTCCTCTGCCTACGCCTCCCGCGTCCCCCAGAGGGAGGAGATGCACCTACGTCGGCAATGTCGTGTTTCGGCCCCTCCGTGCAATCGTGCGCAGCATCCTTCTCCTTATCTATCACTGCAGCAGATATTTCGACCACGGGCGGGGGGGGCAGCGTCAGATGCTGCTGCTTTGCCTCTGCCACGGACGGCAAAGTTGCGGCCTGATCTTGGCGGGGAGAGTCGCCGTGCTTTCCTCCAGTCGCAAAGCCCTCTCTGTCCCCCGACCGGACGGCAACACTCACGCCGCCACGCCCAGGGTCTTCGTTCCCGCCGATGGTGCCGTCGTCAGAATGACCGGGCTCGAGGGCAGCAGTGGCAACATCCGCATCGCTCCTGACGGCCGAAACACGCTTGCGTGCCGTTGGTTGCTTCCCCTTGTCCTCCGCCTTCTTCCCGGGCTTCTGCTTTCCCACCTCAGCCTTTTTCCCCGCCGCACGTTTCGTTTGATCGGCTTGCGCGGCGGCCTTTTTGGTAGCCCTAGATCTGGCCCCACCCTCTTGGTCGGTCTGATGCGACATCCTTTGTGTCGTGCGTCGTTTCGCCTCCTCCTGCTTTTCTGTTTGCCGAGTAGCAGGTGTCATGAGGGTGGTACGAATGCAAGTTTTAAATTGCGGGATTGGGTAGCTGAGTTAAAAAAAAAAAAACCGGAAAGGTTTGTTGCTATTTGACCCCGTCCCGGTGAAGCCAATACTTTTTCACCCTAAATCGGAAGGTACAATTACACCTGAATTAGTAGCTACTAAGCACATGGCATCAGCCCTTTCCTTCGTCGCTACTCCGTCTAACTGGCGATTTGGAAACACCTGTGTTCAGCAGCGAGCGGCGTCAAGGTAGTGGGTATGAGGGTGACGGAAGCTGGTGAGTGGGGCACGACGGTAGTTGGGGTGGTTTGCGAGTCTATGGAGAGGACTGTAAGCAGAACCCGCACCATCGGACGGTCTACGATTTGCCACCCGATCAGAAACGCACTACACGCTTGATCACAGTCGCTGCTTCCGCGGCGAATGTCCAGCTTGGCTGGTGCGGTAGTGGGGAGGGTCGTTTGAGATGCGTCGGCCAATCAGCGCCAACGCATCAATCTCCACGGAATGTAGTACCGTTTCGACACCACCAATCATCACATCCTGCAAAATACAGTGCCTAGTGCATTGATCAAATTTTAACATAGTGTAGCTAAATACACTTGCAAAGTACAACTAAGACAATTTGAAGTGAATAGCCGTTTATGGTGTCATATGGTGTGAAGTTTAGTGAGTGCATGGGGCTTAGGACGCACTCTTTGTGCTTCCAACTCGTGGACTATAGAATGCTATACTGAGCACACATTGCGAATGGGCGACGGATACTGGTCGTTGGAAGTTGTTCAAGCACGACGTGTACTAGTGCCAACTGGAATGGAGATGTAGTGTGGTGTTGGCTTGGGCTCCATTCTTGCGTGGGCCCTCGACATGGTGAATTGAGGGTGTGGGATGAAGCACAGGCCCAACGCACGAGCGTTGATGCGCAATCGACATCGCTGTTTAGTTTGGCGACGGTGCTGCGTTCGCATCCATACAAGGCTAGCGCGACCAGGCGAATCCGTTGTGGAATGGTGTTGGATGGGGCTCCATTCTTGCATGGGCCCTCCGCCAGGTGCATTGAGAGTGTGGGATGAAGCACAGGCCCAACGCACGAGCGTTGTTGCGCAATCGACATCGCTGTTTAGTTTGGCGACGGTGCTGCGTTCGCATCCATACAAGGCTTGCGCGACCAGGCGAATCCGTTGTGGAATGGTGTTGGATGGGGCTCCATTCTTGCATGGGCCCTCCGCCAGGTGCATTGAGAGTGTGGGATGAAGCACAGGCCCAACGCACGAGCGTTGTTGCGCAATCGACATCGCTGTTTAGTTTGGCGACGGTGCTGCGTTCGCATCCATACAAGGCTTGCGCGACCAGGCGAATCCGTTGTGGAATGGTGTTGGATGGGGCTCCATTCTTGCATGGGCCCTCCGCCAGGTGCATTGAGAGTGTGGGATGAAGCACAGGCCCAACGCACGAGCGTTGTTGCGCAATCGACATCGCTGTTTAGTTTGGCGACGGTGCTGCGTTTGCATCCATACAAGGCTAGCGCGACCAGGCGAATCCGTTGTGGAATGGTGTTGGATGGGGCTCCATTCTTGCATGGGCCCTCCGCCAGGTGCATTGAGAGTGTGGGATGAAGCACAGGCCCAACGCACGAGCGTTGATGCGCAATCGACATCGCTGTTTAGTTTGGCGACGGTGCTGCGTTCGCATCCATACAAGGCTTGCGCGACCAGGCGAATCCGTTGTGGTACGGTGTTGGATTGTCATCTAACCTTGCACGGACATTCAAGTAGGTGCCTCAAAGGGGTATGAAGCAGAGCCACAACGCACAATTGGCGATGCGTTATCGTGAGGGCACGAAGTTCTTGTGTACTTCCCGTATGTTGCCAGACCACACTAGAGATCTTGTATGGTTTTTAGACTGTCACGCTGTCAACTAGGGGTGGATCTCGAGCAGGCATTTTCATGTGACCGTGTAGTAGTTATCATCAACGAGTTTAGTGTATAGATTAAATGCAATTGTACAATGTAATATCCTGCGCTGTATTTTGTCCGTTGTCGAGCTCACCACTGTGAGCTCACTAACGTGAGCGCGATCTCCCCCGTATAAGGGTGCATTCCTGGTTGGTGGCAGGGCAACTGTTCACATCGAGTTGGTGGCAAGTGTACCCAAAAATTCAGTGGGCCGGAAAATGCGCTTGCCACCAACAGTTGCCCTGCCACCAACTCAGGAATGCACCCTAACAGTTCGCAACTGAACTACAGATCCAAACGGATCTCTTCCCGCTCTTCCTCATCCCACTCGACTCTCACGCACCAAGAGTGCGTGAATCCACAGGCACGTCCTTCTCACGCACACACAAGACCTACCGTCTTAGAATCAAGCGCATTCTCCGCTGCTCACGTCGTGGTCTGTCAAAACGGGGGCGACACGCCTTGTAGGGAAGACGACCTGGGATGTGAGCGGTTTGTAGCGTGCCTTGTCACGACCGCGCGGCGCGCACATCGTTAGGCACGTCCAAACATAAGCTGCCCGCTCAAGTGCCAGTCGTGCAGTGATACAAGCCGCCTTGAACAGTGCGCGGTTTGGCGATGACCGTGTTGCATTACCAGCCTTCTTGCACGGAGTACGTAATGCCTTCTCAAGCTTCTCACGACGCTCGTTGCTTCACAGGCCATTCCTCAACACTTAGACAGATCCGTACCGCATGGGCTCCTTACCTGGCGTCATCTGCGAGTTTTGGACTGGATGGTTCCCCAACGCCCAAGTTTATGGCGGTCACAAGTCACGGCGGACCCCTTGCCAAGGCCTTTCCGCCGTGGCAAGGCCCTCGCAATCTGCACCATCCGCCGGACTACACGCACTGCTTTTCGTGCAAGAGATTCTGTCGGACGCTCCCGCTGCTCCCGCTTCACCTACCGCGTCTAATGCGTCCAACACCGACGCTGTGAATGGTCCTCCTCGCGTGCATGAAGCTGAAGATGACGCAACACCCTCGGCTGGGAACGTGGGGGCTTCTGAATCTGAGCATCAACCGCCACCCGGAACACCTGCAGATGACACGAGTGCGGTTCCGGGGTGCCGCCCTGGAGTGAGTCACGCGGCCCCGCCGACAATCATCTCCGGGGAGAGCAATGCGACGCCCCTCAATCCGATTGCGGTGAAGCTGCTGCACTTCGTGAGGCGTGTAAATGGCGGAATGGGCATGGCGGAGATCGACATCAATGGCCTGCTTCAGCTCGTGGTGGAGCCCGGCCTTGCGCCTCTTGTGATCTCAGAGATCCAGAACTGCAAGGATCTGGAGAGGTTCGAGATGGAGCGCTTGGTTGGGCTCAATCGCGGATGGTCAGTGGCGACCTTCGAGATTGAGGGTCATCCTCCACAACGCCTCCTCTTCCAGAACTCTGCGCAGGTAAGCCGGCCGTGGATGCGTGGCTGCGAAATGCAGATTCCGCCTCCATTTGGTCCATGTGTGCGATCCGACCCTTCCCCGCTCCCGCCACTAAACCCCTGTTTGGTTCTCCCTCGCTCTTGATGCCGTACTCCAGGCTTTTGCTGAACTGTTTGGGCACACCAACAACGCGCCCGGCTTCAAGCTCAAGGCTTGTGTCGATGAGGACCATGGCACAGGCGAGCGTCGCTATACCACGCCAGAAACTGGAACGTGGTGGAACGATGCTCAGGTATGTAAATACCCCGCTGCCACCCAAAACCACACGCGTGCGCCGTCCTCCGTTGACGCGCTGATGTGGAGGGAGCATCTTCAGTGCGTCATGTTAGTGGGGAGTGTTATGTACCATGCTTAATCCGCCAGGCGACACATTACCTTGGTGGTGTTTGACCGTGGGGGTTTTCCGTCTTTGTCGTGCATGCAGGAACACTTCGGATGGTCCGAAGTCGTGGGGGGTATCATCCTATATTCGGATGTGACGCACATGAGCAACAACGGCCGGAAGAAGGCGTGGCCGCTCACGATGACGCTTGCCAACATCTCCCAGGCCAAGCGATGGGGGAAAGCCGGGCACACGCTACTTGCTCTCCTTCCTATCCCCCCTTCGGCAATGTCTGCTGTTGAAAAGGTGATGCTCTTCCAGCGATGCGTCCTCACCGTGCTGCAGCCGCTTCTGGATGGCATGGACAGGTACGTACTCGATTTCCGTCATGCTATGTCGTCACCGTGTGCACAGCATAGTGTGCGCAGCGCTTTTGTATGTTGCATTACCCTTTGCCCCTCCTCGCTGATGCACAGAGTCGTCATGGCTGTTGACGTTACCACTCTACCCGTTCCTTGCAGCGGCTTCCGTCTCAGGGACCCTTTCGGTGATTGGCAAACAGTGCGGCCACTGCTGTACGCCTGGGTGTGCGACTACCCCGAGAGCGGCAAGATTAGTTGCACACTCTCGCATGGATCGCGGATGCCGTGCAGCATCTGCTATGCTGCCATGGTAAGCAAACATGCCATGTGAACGCCTTCAGCGCCATCGTCATCTGACTGTCGCATGACGGACCTCCTAATTTTTTCACCCTTACCAGTTCATCCCATCCCACCCCCCGTGCTACACCAGGAGCATTTAGTTGCTGTCAAGGCACGGAACACGCCGCGCATGCCTGAACAGCAGCAATGGATCGTGAATGAGGCGGCTGGGTTGACATCAAGCCAGGCCGACCCATGCAAGACCTACTCGACCCACCCAGTTGAGGTGAGCGACCTGTCCACCGCGCTACTTTCCTGTCTAAGCACTCCGTGTTGAGAAGCCCTGGGGGAGATGTGCACTGCCATTGCACTGCCCCACATGTTGGCCGAGTCTCTCGTATACCTTTCTCTACCATTCCCCACCACACCCCCTCCGCCAGTGTGTGCTCTGGAAATGGGATGTCTCAGGGACCGTGTGGGGCAATCCCTACCTCGTTATCATGCCTGACATCATGCACCAGGCGGACCTGGGCATGATGA